GAACAACAGGGTGCGAGCCCTGGGAGGGGTACGTCCATGGCAAAAAAAGCACAGTGGGCACCCGGTGGAATGAACAATGCTTATTCGTCAGAAAAGACACCTCAGCAACAACAGCCAACAACAATAACAACGATCCGCATCGCAGAACCCCACTGCAACCACGCACCCAAGGGTCACGGGTGGGTCGAGGGTGGATCGCGGGTGGGTCGCGGGTTGGGCGCGGGTGGGTCGCGGGCGGGTCGCGGGTGGGTCGCTGGCCAGGTCGCGAGAAGGACGACAACAACAATAACCATAATAATAACAAACAATACCAATCCGCACCGTGGAACCCCACTTCAGCCACGCACCTAAGGACAGTGAACGACCGTTCAGCCCCCTCAGTCTGACTAATGCGAAGGCTCCTATGACTAGTGTTTACTACATATAGCGATCTGAACACACACGAACGGTACGGCTGATACTGACACCAGTACCCAAAGAACTGCGATTGTCCTCTCTGATACTACTACTGCCAGGAAACAAGCAATATTACTAACACATCTACTTCTGCGTATACTACGACATACCCATACGGATACGGATACGATCATTACGACTGACACGAATTCTGATACTACGAGTACAGCAACTATTGCTACTATCGATACGCACGCGGCTGTTAAGTAACCGATTGACACTAACCCTGATACTAACACATCCTAAGAGTCGGAGTTCGTACGCTAGTACTATGACTCAGACGGCTACGCGCACTACAGCTAACATCGCATTGCGACTTCTGGTGCTAAGACTGAGCTCAAGCCTAATACGACTACTCATTTGTTTTATTCGTGCGGACACTTAGAACTAACGATGCTAGGTACGAATGCGACTACCTGGCCAACAAGACTACGATTCGGAATGCGGACGGTCATGCGATAACTGAAGATATTGGGTCATGATAAAAAAGCTACATATACAAAGGTATGGAAACAGGGAAAATTACATGGATCGGCATATAGAGGATGGTGACGATCGGGGTGGAAATAAAGGGCTATGAAGAGGGAGACAACTGGAGACAGCGGGACACAACGGGAGACAACGGGAGACAATCGGCGCCCGACCGATTCCAGGTCCGTGTCCGCCCGTGCTCGGCTTTTTGTGTTTTTCTTAACCGAAAAACCCTTACAGACAAGCTGCTTAGGGAAACCTCCAGACGCTGGCGGGACCCAGGGGACCTTTCCCTCGTCCATCGGGGAGGGCGACGCGAGAGAATGGGCAGGAGGAGGTCAACTCAACCACAGGGGAAGGCGAAGCAACAGCAACGGCAGCGATGACCACGACATAGGCCGAAAGGTCAACAAAACAAGCACTTGCAATAAAACAGAGGCGAGAAGAGGGGGAGGAGGAGGGGGAAAACGAGGAGGATAGGGATAAGGATGATGAAGACGGGAAGGGTGAGGAAGGAGGAGGAGAAAGAGAAGAGGAAGGATGAAGGAAGGAGGAGCAGGGCGGACGAGGACGGAGGAGATGGGAAGACGGAAGAGATGGGACAAATAATCGACCTCTGTCTCCCGCCCCATGGCCGTCCATGTGGAATCCACGTCGGACACGCGTCGGGTACAAGGTACAAGAAATGACAGCAGTTAGCAGGACAAACAAGGTCCCCGGAGGATGCAGCGTAACCGTCGTTGGCGTGATGGGGAAAGCGGGCCCTGGTGAGAACTGGGTGCTGGACCCCAGGCCCTTCCTCAAATTCAGCTTCTCATCCCGAGTCGCTCTTTCATGGCCCCCGGGCCCGGAAGGGCCCCACGAAGCCCGAGAGCGGCGACAAAACCTGCAAGACCCCTTCCCTTCGAGCGAAAGCCGGCGTCTTGGTCGGGCTCTGGCCGGGCAGGGCCGTGCGGCGGGCCGCCTTGTCCTTCAGCGTCTTGACCGCCTTCTCCGCCTCGTCCAAGAGAGACTCCAACTCCTCGGGCCCAGGGGGGCAGCGGCGCACGAGTGCGGACTCAGCATGAAGGGAACGGATTCTGAGGGAAATTTGAGAATCCCGGGGCCCGTCGAGGGAAGGGGGAAGGCGTCTTTGAAGGAGGCAACTTCTGAAAGGCGCGGGCCTTACATCTGTAGACAAGGCCGCGCCTTCTGAAAAGCTCGAACACATCTACAACTACACGCAGCAAAACTGCACCTTGTTGCGGGGGCCAGGTGGCAATCATAATTCGATTTGGCGCCTCGGTCGGTCTGGGTGGACGGACATCGCCTCATGACCCACGATGGAAGGCGATGGTCGTGCCGACGACGTTGCGTGCCAAGCGCGGAAGCGATCACCACGTTGCACGGCGAGGCTTGGCGGCAACCGCAAGAAGAACCATAGAACGAAAAAACGCTCACGCTCGGACGGGGAATCCGGCACGAAGAAGAATTTGAAAGCGCGGGGGATCGGATCGCGAAATTGTTGCTGGGGTACAGGCGGGGGAGGGAAGCGGGCTGCGCGACGTCGAGGCCTCCAGGCATACGGCTGGCTTCGCTGAGCCAGGGGATGCGGGATGTCGGTGGGGAGCGGCCCAAGGGGCGGGGCCTCGGCGATGGGCAGCGCGGGCAGCCGATGCTTCAAGGGGACACGTACAGAACGGCACTTAGCGGCCGGGGCGCGGTACACGTCGGGGGCGCGAGTGGCGGCACCCGACATGCACCCCGCCCCGCTGGCTAGGTGTAGTTCTATAGGTGCTCCGTTTTGTGGGGATGTTTCCGGCGAGACCAGCACGTACAGAACTACACCTAGTGCCCGGCTAAGTGTGATTCTGAACGCGCTGGATGTCTCGCGCTGGGCGAGCGCGCACAAACCGGCACCTGGCGAAAGGGGCGGGGTACACGTCGGGTACGTCGTCGCGCCCCGCCCGCAGAGTCAGGAAGGCAAGGGCTGCTGAACCCCCTGCCAGCCTCCGGGCGGAGGTGTCTGAACGTCCCGGGGCTATCAGAAGGAATTCCAACTGCGGCCTCCGCCCACATCGCTCCCCCAATCAGAGTATCTCGCCTGGTCACTATGTTCACCATTCCTGCCCGCTGCTTTGCCCTCCCCCTCCCCCGTTTTACCTCTACCTGCCGCCCTCCATTTCCCTGAGCGTTTCCTAGTTGCCCCTGGCCCCTGCGTGGCGGCAAGCGCCCGCGCCCCCCCGCAGCTGAAAGACTCACCTTGCGCTCATCCTCCAATCCACTCGTGAGGCGCAAGCCTTGGTTCCAGAGTGACAATGGCAAGACACGCCGAGGCCCCGGCGAATCCAACAGGCGCGATCGGCCCCCTCATATGGCGGGCGAACCAATACGGAAGACGATGCCGCAAAAGTAAGTTTGGAATTTCGGGATCCGCGGAAGAAGCTAATCCACTCGCCCAAAGTGTAGTTCTATGCCTGTCCGAAAAGCAGAGGGCTTCTGAGAAGCCTTCCCCTCCTCCCCCTACACTCCTCTGCGCGTGGCTGACGAGAGCCCGAAAACGGCGAAAAACTGAAGACCCTGTTTCCCTCAGGACCCACTTCCTTCATGGCAAATGACTCGGCTCCAATGCTGTCTGCCGGCCTGCTCGCCCCAGCAGGGTCTCGATCGGCCTCAAGCCCCACACCGAGGCCCGCGAAAGCCGAACGTGGCCAGGAGCCTCCCGTGGTGCTTTGTTTTTCTCCACTTGGCGGCGCGCTCTGGGGGGGTAGGGGGAGGGGGGAAGGCTTCTTAGAAGAAGGCTGCGTCTTAGAAGGCGCTGGCCTTTCATCTATAGAGACGGCCCGCGCCTTCTAAGAAGCAGGGTTTTTGTTTTTTTCTCCACGGCGCGGGGCCGGTCGTCCTTGAGGAGCTGCTCGGCGAGCTTCTGGGCCTCCTCTCGCCGCCTCGCCGCCTGGGCGCGCTCGGGGGGAAAGAAGAGGGGAGGGTGGGGAGGCAGGAGAAGGGGGCGGGGCAATTAGGGAGCACCCAGACCCCCTCGAGTCGTGAAAAAAACACGACGGAACATGTTTCGCTATTTTCAGCATCTGGGGGCCCTCACCGGGCCTCGGGACCGTCAAAACATAACTCGGGATGAAAAACCGGTCCTGGGAAATGGGTCGAGACCTCTGGGGGTCGAAGTGATGACAAAAATCATGACGTCGGGGGTCTCGGGAGGGAAGGGAACGGATGGGGATCGGAATGAGGGGGGTCATCTCGGATCCTCTGGGAGGACATCATGAATAATTACACCAGCCACCTGCTGACGGCGGCGCTCGCCAGGAAAGAGGGAAGGGATGGGAGGAGGGGGAAGGACGAGAGACAGGGAGGTTGATGAGGAGCAGAGTAAAAAAGAGACGCACACGCGACGCTGCAATTCACCCCACCCCAAGTACCCTCCGCATGCTCCCCTGCAAGTCTTTCTCTGTAGCAACAGACGCGCCCCCTTGAAACACCACTACGACTGGACGCGCCATGTTGGCGAGGTCCCCACTTTCAAAAGGATCGATTAGCTTGGCATCTGTCTTGCGCGTAAGCAGGAACGCGAAAACAATGGTCATAGAAATCAGCGAGATATTCCACGCCCCCCTTCGAAGAAAGACCGCCCCCCCAACCGTGTAACTGATGCAAGAATTTCAACTTGTGGTAATGTACTTCGAGAAAGACAACGGACTTCCTGCTCAACCGACAACCGCATTTTGAACATGAGCCGCCATGGACACGTGCAGCGCGACGTGCGTTGAAGCGTCTGGTTTGTTACACCGAAACAGGGCTCAAACATCCTGCTAGACGTTTCCATGAAAACAAATGCGCGCGACAATGGGGCGCGAACCCCCATACGAAAACCCAATTTTGAAAACTGCTGCACGATTTCAAAGCGCATGTGCGCGACGCGAACGCGGGACCCCCACTTTTCAGAAGAACGTGCGCGGCGATAAAACGAGAACCACATTTTGAACACGACCCCACTTCCACCTGTGACACTGCTACAAACTATGAATACGAATGTCCGTGGCACTACGGCAAGAACGACATTCTGAAAAGGCACCCCTTCCATCCGTGAAGCTGCTGCAAACTTTGAAAATGAACGTGCGCGGCGCTAAAAGCGAAAATCACATTTATAAACGCCCCACCCCTTCCATGCATGAAGCTGATGCGAATGTACCAGGCGAACGTGCTCGGCGCAAAAACGAAAACCATATTTTGAAAGCGGCCCCTATGAAAATGCAGCCAAAATATGTCATACGAATTTGCGAGCTACTGAAGCGAGAACGAAAGATTCAAAAGGCCCTCCCTCCATCCGTTAAGCTGCTGCGAACTTTTAAGACGAATGTGCACCGCGCTACGGCGAGAACCACATTTTGAAAACGACCATCCGTGATGCAATTGCGAACTTTTCAGACGAACGTGCCCGGTGCTACGGCGAGACCCGCATTTTGAAAACACCCCCCTGCATCCGTGAAGCTGCTGCAAACTATTAATACGAATGTCCGCGGCGCTGAATGCAAAAACCAAATTTTGAAAATGCCTCTATCCATGCATGACGCTGTTGCACATGATTCAAACGAGTGTGCGCGGCGCTGAAGCGAGAACACCATTATGAAAACGGCCCCCCTCCATGCGTGAAGTCGTTGCAACTGTTTCAGGCGAACGTGCGTGGAGCTGAGGCGAGAACGACATTTTCAGAAGACAATCCTTCCATCCATGAGGCTGTTGTACACTTTAAAACGAATGTGCGCAACGCTAAAACAAATACCACATTTTGAAAACGACCATCCGTGATGCAATTGTGAACTTTTCGGAAAAAAAACCTGCCCAACGCTACAGCGAAAACCACATTTAAAAAAGCCCCATCCATCCGTGAAGCTGCTGCAAACTATTAATACGAATGTCCGCGGCGCTGAAATAAAGCACCACATGTTGAAAACGCCCCTATCTATCCATGAAGCGGTGGCAAAATATCATGACGAATGTGTGCGGCGCTCAAGCAAGAACCACAGTTTGAAAAAGGAGCAATGTATGAAGATGCCCCGAACTTGTAAGACAAATGTGCGCGGCCCTCAGGCGAGAACCACATATCGAAACATGTCTTAAATCAACCCCTATCATTCGTGAGGCAAATTCGAATTCAGACGACTGTGTGCGTCACTGAAACGACAACTACACTTTAAAAACGGCACGCCCTCAATCCGTGAAGATGTTGCACACTTGTAAGACGAATGGCCGCGGCGCTCAAGCGAAACAACATTTTGAAAACGACTCTCTCCAACCGTGCAACACTTGCACATTTCAAGCTTCAGGATTTATCAATGGACATGACCTCTCAAGCGAAACGCACAGCTATGCCTGTCGGCACGTCTTGGGGCACGACAAAGAGGATATGCTCGTTAGGAAGATAGAGAGATGGCGGAGGATGAGGAGGAAGAAACAAAGGGGAGGGAAGGATGTGAGCAGGGGGGAGATGAGAGAGACTGTTAAGGCAAGAGTCCAAGTGAGTGAACGCCAAAGCTCACTGACCTCGATTCTAGGCTCTCCTCGTGGGCGAGACAGCAAGGCCTGAGCAGGAGGAGCAGGAACAGGAGAAGAAAGGAACTGGGACAGGACCAAGGAGCAAGAGGGGCAAGAGGAGCGAAGAACGGCATGAACGAGGATCAGAAAAGAGAACAACAAGCGGGGCGTGGAGCAGGAGGAGGGAGGAGCAGGAGGAGAGAGAACAATGCGGATGAAGAAGCAGGATACTGGAGAGATGGAGAGAGGGGGAGTTGCGGCAAGAGGAGGAGGACCAGCAGCATCATGGAGGAGGAGCATGCGAGTCATGGTCAGGAGGAGGCAGGGCAATGACGAGACAGGAGGCGCAGAAGGTGGAGGCCGGGGGGGAGCAGGAACAGCAGAATGATGGAGAGTAACTGAGGAGTGTGGGAGCGTATGGTGGTGACGATCGGGAGGAGGACGATGACAAGTCCGCCGATCCAGCGTGAGATTTCTAGCGAGATCTTAAACAATCTGCTGGCGAAGGGCCCAGCTTTATGCGGTTGTGAGTATAGCCGTTGTGGGTATTGCCTTAGCGTGCAAGGGGCGTGCCGAAATGGGGCGAGGACGCATGCGGGCGCTGCCATTGGGGCCTTCGGTGGCGCTCCGTATGGGGCCACGAAACGTGTGAAGGGTGTGCCGAAATGGGGCGGGGCCGCCATGCGAACGTCGCCACGGGGGCCTTCGGTGGAGCTCCCTATGGGGCCACGAACCGTGTGAGGTATGCCGGAATGGGAGGGGGGGGCGCGTGCGAACGTCGCCTCCGGGGCCTTCGGTGGAGCGCCCTGTGGGGCCACGGAGCGCGTGACGGGTGTGCCGAAATGAGTGGGGGGAGACGCATGTGGTGACACCCAGTGTGGCCTGGTGGCGCTCCGTATGGGGCCACGAAACGCCGTACTGGGTGGCGCGGGACGCACGTAAGCACAGCCGCTGGGGCCTCTGGGGTAGCTTCCTGAGGGGCCACGAAACGCCGTACTGTGTGGCGAGGGACGCATGTGGGCACAGCCACTGGGGCCTTCGGTGGGGCTCCCTATGGGGCCACAGCAAGCCGTGCTGGGTGGCGCGGGACGCATGTGGGCACAGCCGCTGGGGCCTTCGGTGGAGCTCGCTGTGGGGCCACGACATGCCGTGCTGGGTGGCGCGGAACGCATGTGGGCATAGCCACTGGGGCCTTTGGTGGAGCTCCCTGTGGGGCCGCGCAACGCTGTACTGGGTGCGGAGGGCAGAGGCAGGAATGGGAGGAGAGGAGGAGCAGGAGGAGGGGGAGGAGGAAGGAGACGCGGGGCGGGAACTGAACTTGGGTTTCAGCTCTGCTGGAACTGCAGCCTGAGCGTCAACTCTGCTGTGCGTGTGTGTGTGCCGGGGTGGCTCTGCCAGGGTAGGGGTGCAAGGGGGAACTAAATCCGCACAACGCCCAAACACGGGCTGCAAGGCGCCCAGGGGGCCACCGAACTCGAGGACACCCAAGATGGTCCAAGAGGTCTCCAAGACGATTCAAGAGGGCCCCACGAGGACCCCCCCAGACGGCCCGAAGAGGCCAACATCGGCGGACTCCCCTGGGTGATAGCATGATTTTAGCAATATCTTCTGTTCGGTGCTAAGAGCGCCCAAGACGGTCCACGAGGCCCACAGGACCGCCCCTGGACAGCCCGAGAGGCCCCCAAGAGGGCCCCAAGAAGGCCCCAAGACGGCCCAAGAGGGTCCCAAGATGGTAAGGGAGGCCCTCAACACGACCCCAAGCGGCTACAAAGGCGGCCCCAAGAGAGGAACTCGAACAGACCCTTCGAGCCCTTCGCACCAAGACGACCCCCAAAGTCCCCAAGAAACTCCCGAGGCGCCCCCTTGAGGTCCCAAGAGGCCCCCAGGAAGACCCCAAGAGGCCCCCAAGAGGCCCCCAAGAAACCGCCAATAAGCCCCCCGAATGCCACCAAGAGGCCCCAGGAGGCGCCGCCTCGCGCGCCTCCTCCTGCTCCTACCTCTCCTCCTCCTCCTCCTCCTCCTCCTCCTCCTCCTCCTCCTCCTCCTCCTCCTCCTCCTCCTCCTCCTCCTCCTCCTCCTCCCTCTCCTGCTCTCCTCCCCCCTCCACTCCTCATTCCTCCATCCTTCGCTCCCTCCGCTTCTCCTCCTCCTCCTCCTCCTCCTTCTCCTCCTCCTCCTCCTCCTCCTCCTCCGCCTCTTCCTCCTTTTCCTGCACCTCATCCGCCTCCTCCTCCGCCTCCTCCTCCTCCACCTCCTCCTCCTCCTCTTCACCCTCCTCATCTCATTCCTTCTCCTCCTCCTGATCTTCATCCTCCTCGTGATCCTCCCCTTCCCTCCTTCGCCACCTCGCTCTCCTCCTGTTCCTCCGACGGCGGCGGCGGCGAAGATAATCCACAGGAGGGCGCCTCCGCGAGCTTCTCCTGGGCCTCCCGCTTCACCGCGGCCATCTTCTCCACCTTCTCGGCCGCCATCTGCAGGCCCGCCTTGGCCTCGTCCTGGGATCGGCAAGCCCGAAACAAGCACGAACCAGAATGGGCCGGATGTCCCGCAGCAAATGTTGTTCAACACCGGCAGCGGCCGCTGATAGGCAGGCGACCCTTCGTCTCGGAGGAATAGTGCCCGCTGATGCGGGCACTGTTCCTCTGAGACGCAAGGTCGCTGGAGGGGGACGAAGAGGGGGATGGGATGGGACGAGGAGGTCCAGGAGGAGCAGGAGCAGGAGGGGGAGTAGGAAGGGAAGGAGAAGGAGGAGGAGGAGGAGGAGGAGGAGGACCAATGTAAACCCAAGAGCCATCAGCGATGTTGGAATTAACCCTCCCACCAAGCTCCCTCTTCATAAGCCCCTACAACCGTTCATTTTCATAGAAAGAACTGCCTGGTTGGAAGACCACCATTTGAAGACCATGAAGCATGCCAAAACATTGTTCTCGTGATTTCAACGCCACGGGTCAACCTGATTGCTGCGTCTTGACGATCCAGAACCGTATCAAAACGCCATCCCTTTGACTTCAAAACCGCAAATCAACATGATTTCGGCGCCCGCGTAATCCTGAACACTTCCAACACATTACTTCTGGTACGTTGAGTATGGGAAGCCGTGAAGTCCTTACCAACTTTGAAAACGAATGTGCGCGGCGCTGAGGCAAGAACCTCATTTTGAAATCGACCCGCCCTCCATCTGTGAAGCTCTTGCAAAGTTTGAGAACGAATGTGCGCAACGCTAAAGCGAGAACCACATTTAGAAAAAAAATCCGCCTTCAGTCCGTGAAACTCTTGCGAATTTTGAAACCGAATATGCGCGGCGTTAAAGCGAGAACCACATGTTGAAAACCACCTGCCTTCAATCCGTAGAACTCTTGCAAATGTTGAAAAAAGAGTGAGCGCGGCGCTAAGGCGAAAACTACGTTTTGAAAACGACCCGTTCTCAGCCCGTGAAGCTCTTGCAAATTTCGAAAACGAATGTGCGCGGCGCGAGAACCACATTTTGAAAATGACCCGCCCTCAATCCGTGAAGCTTTTGCCAATTTTGAAAACGAATGCATGCGGCGCTGAAACGAGAACCACACTTAGAAAACGGCCCGCCTTCAACCCGTGACACTCGTTCATATCTTGAAAACGGATGGGCGCGGCGCTGGGGCGAAAGCCAGATTTTGAAATCGCCCCGCCCTCCATCCCTGAGACTGTTGCCATGCTTGGCTTTCGAATCATAAATGGTGGGGAGGTCTCGGGCGGAACGCCCGGCCCGTCCTAAAAACTTGTCTCGGGGTGCGACACGGAGCAGTTATCGACAAGGAAAGGGAATTGAGGCGGAGAAGGAAGCGGAGGAGGCGGAGGACGAGGAGGACGAGGAGGAGGAGGACGAAGAAGACGAGGAAGAGGAGGGGGAGGAGGAAGGCGGACGGGGAAGAGGAGAAAGAAGCGGAGGTGGAGGAAGGGGGAGAAGGAAGCGGAGGGGGGGAGGAGGAGGAGGAGGAGGAGGAGGAGGAGGAGGAGGAGGAGGAGGAGGAGGAGGAGGAGGAGGAGGAGGAGAAGGACGAGAACGAGGAGGAGGACAGGAACTGCCCCGAAAGGGGCCTCCTTTTGGAGGAGCAGGCGGGACGGGAGAGGGACGAGGGGAAAGAGGAGGAGGAAATCGCGGGCACAGAAGACACATGGCCGCTGGCAGCTCGGCAGCCGACAGGGCGGCAGCCCGCGAACCCAATCCATTTCAGCATTACCCTACATCCTCACACCCCATAAACTTCCACTCGTTAGATTACGCCCGTTTTCTTTTTCCATGGTGACGTGCTCTTTTATATTGGTCGCGCCACGCATCACGGCTTCGACATCCGCGCCGAGCAACCAACGAACCAGTTGCACGGCCATTTTGGCAAACGACACATCCACACTGCATCACTTCGCAAGCAGATATACCACGACTCCGCGACTTCTCTCGACCCTGCCTGGCACCGCAGGGAAAGGAAACAACGAACAACAACGCGCGCGCATCTACGGCCAGCCTCAACGCGAACCCGACTCGACAAACGTGCCCACCTTCGGCTCCAAGCAGCGCAACTTCTACTCGGCCGCGCACAACTCCCCAGGCCAAAGGCAGAGGCAACGGGAAACACCCACGGAGGCAAAGGACCATCCTGGCAACCTGTCGGGCACAGCGGATGCGCCCTTCCAGCTCCGCGGCCTCGGACCTACGCCGCGCAGCCGCGATGCCAGCGGCAAAAACGCGACGCCTACTACCAAGCAGCGCCGGCCACGCCATGCTGGACACAGCGGCCGCGCATTCCGAAGCGGCAGGGGAACGCCACTCCAAGACCCCAGCCAAAACAGGAACCAACTTCAGTTACAACCCTGCTTCGGCAGCAAACCAGACCACGCAGCATGATCCGCGCAAGAGAGCAAATCCTCGGTTGACAATATACCACAAGCTTCCCACAACAACGTGGAACAGAAGGGTGGGCCTGGAGCCACCCCGCTTGAAGTAGGAGTATGGAACGCATGCAAGGCAGCCGGACTTAGAAAACTCCCTTCGCAGATCCTGGCAGTGGAGAGCGCGGGGCAACATGCAGGCCGACTACGCCGCGATCTAGCAGCCGTGCAAAGACACCTACTTGACCAAAAGCCAGAAGCCGAAAGCTTGCAGTGCATCCGCTAGCTCGCAAACGATTGCGGAGCTTATACAGAGATCTCGGCAGAAACTCCTGATCGCGCCCACCAGCAGCACGAGGGCAACGTTCGCGAGACCAAGACGCAGGCCAATCTTGAAGAGGAACTGATCATCAGCAGACAACGCGCACCTAACCCGCATTTGCGATCGCCCCGAACGCAAGACGCGCAGCTCAACCCCTGCCCGCGCGAACGACCGCCATTGGTTCCACTCGAAGCCGCCGTGCCTAGCGCCGACGCCGCAGAAGCTCGAGGCACTAATCAAAACGGCGCGCGGCCACCTCCTATCCAACGGGTGGACAATTGCAGAACGCATAGCAACGCAGCAAAACATGGGCAATGGGGGCCATAACACAACAACTACAAACGGCAGAGCAACCCGCGCAACAATTGCAAGCAGCAGACGACCATCCGTCCAGCGACCACCCCGAGACGTGCGAGCACATTATGGCCGTCCGTCAAGTAGAAGCAGCGCAACGCGAAGCTGAGCGCACAACGAGTCAAAATGAAACAAATACACCAACAGATAGAGAGCCTCACTAGAAACGTCCTCGACTTCCGCGCCCAATCAAGCGACTGCGAGCGCGGGGCGACCAATCCGACTAAACGCGCCTCGATCAGAAGGAATCGCGCAAAGGGCCAACGACAAGAGTTGCGCGAAAAGCAAGCGCTGCGCCCTGGCCGGCGACTCTCAGCCAATTGCGCGCTGGACATGCTCGGAGCAGAAGATGTTACAGAATTGCGCGTGCAGTATAAATTCAGCAGGGGAACCAGCGCTACGGGCTTCAATAGTAAGGGATCGCGAATGGCCCATGCATGCTGATGGCAGCACGGGCGATGCACTCCCTGGGGCAAGAACTTCGACGCGAAGTAAGACAATCCGGATGGCGCGCGCAACGGCGCCACTGTCACGAGGGGCCGCGCGCACAGCGGACACGGGCACGGGCGCCGTTCGACCATGGAGTCGCCGCAGCACGAGAGACAGTGCAGACAGCGCAGCGACTCCAACATGCAGAGGGCAACTTACGTGACAGATACAACGACCAAGAAGCAACGTGCCTCATTGCGGTGAGCGCGACAGAGCAACCCGCGAAGGCCAACCGGCGCAACAAGCAGCGATTTCTCACGGCAAAACAATGTCGGCATGGCGCTGAAACACGCGCGCAGAACCAGCGAGCGACGACGCGCGCATGCATGACAGCACAGGGATGAGGGCACAGCTAACAATGCTTCTGCAACAAGCTGAAGGCCACAACAGACATGAACGCGATCTCCAGCCAGAACAGGAACAATCGGTGCCAGACCTCGACCGCGCCGTCGGGGAAGAGATGAGCATTGCCCGACGCTTCAGCAACGATCCGCGCATAGACGAATAAAGGATGAACTGCAATCGCGACAATTACATCAAGCGCAAATAGAAAACGAAGTCGACGCCGCCTGACAAGACGAACTCCAAGGAATCATAAGACGGCGACCTCGACCACATCCGTGACAAGAAGGGCGACATGAAGGGCGAGATGGCGACGACACGCACCAGCGCGCATGCCCACGCGGACAGTTCGCCGACGTGCCAAACCCACGGCAGCAGCCAGCATCACCACGACAAGTCGACTCCTCACCCGAGCCACTAATCACAACGACGGACCACTACTCACCCAGAGAACCGCAGCAGCAAACACCTCCCATCACAACAACCGAGATATACGCAGAAGGCACGCCGCAACTACGAACACCAGAACGTAGAGGAACAGCGACAACACACTCAGCAATTCGTTGCGACACCGCAGCAGCGGGAAACAGCGGAACACTGCGAGATACTCAAATGCTTATCTGATGTACATGCAATGGCCATGCAGCGCAAAATCACAATCAGGTAGAGTCCCGGCGATCGGCCACAAAAATTGCATTCGCCACCTAAGCACGCGCCGCAGCGCGCGCGGACAGCGAATGAGAGCAACGGCAACTTGGACGCAAAGCCGACGACATATTCAGGGTCACTAGTGCCAGGGGCCCTGCAGCCGGCTCAGCCCCGGCGGCAAACGGCAACTTCGCCCATCAAACTTCTCCTGATAAGGCCCAAATTGTCAGCGCTACTAGACTGCGGAATCCCATGCCTGACTCGCAAAAAGGGCAGATGAGATGCACGACTTATCTAGTTAGCGGTGCGGGCGACTCAGCTCTACCGAGCCCCGCTTCGCGTCGCGCGCGTCATCGCCTCCAACGAGACGCGCCCGTGCATCTCCTTGCCCCTCTCCAGGACGCGCGCAAGAGCACGGCGCGGCAACGCGACCTCTCCCGCGCCGCGCCCCGCCCAGCTACGCGGGCAACGCATGCG